AGCCACTAATTGGGTCCCACAAGGATCAATACTGACCCCAGCAGCCACTAATTGGGTCCCACAAGGATCAATACTGACCCCAGCAGTCACTAAGTGAGTCCCACAATGATCAATACTGACCCCAGCATCCACTAAGTGAGTCCCACAAGGATCAATACTGGCCTCAGCAGCCACTAATTGGGTCCCACAAGGATCAATACTGACCCCAGCAGTCACTAAGTGAGTCCCACAATGATCAATACTGACCCCAGCAGCCACTAAGTGAGTCCCACAAGGATCAATACTGGCCTCAGCAGCCACTAATTGGGTCCCACAAGGATCAATACTGACCCCAGCAGTCACTAAGTGAGTCCCACAATGATCAATACTGACCCCAGCAGTCACTAAGTGAGTCCCACAAGGATCAATACTGGCCTCAGCAGCCACTAATTGGGTCCCACATGATCAATACTGACCCCAGCAGCCACTAATTGGGTCCCACAAGGATCAATACTGACCCCAGCAGCCACTAAGTGGGTCCCACAAGGATCAATACTGACCCCAGCAGCCACTAAGTGGGTCCCACAAGGATCAATACTGACCCCAGCAGCCACTGAGTGAGTCCCACATGATCAATACTGACCCCAGCAGCCACTAAGCGAGACCCACAAGGATCAATACTGGCCCCAGCAGCCACTAATTGGGTCCCACAAGGATCAATACTGACCCCAGCAGTCACTAAGTGAGTCCCACAATGATCAATACTGACCCCAGCATCCACTAAGTGAGTCCCACAAGGATCAATACTGGCCTCAGCAGCCACTAATTGGGTCCCACAAGGATCAATACTGACCCCAGCAGTCACTAAGTGAGTCCCACAATGATCAATACTGACCCCAGCAGTCACTAAGTGAGTCCCACAAGGATCGATGCTGGCCTCAGCAGCCACTAATTGGGTCCCACATGATCAATACTGACCCCAGCAGCCACGGGTCCCACATGATCAATACTGACCCCAGCAGCCACTAATTGGGTCCCACAAGGATCAATACTGACCCCAGCAGCCACTAAGTGGGTCCCACAAGGATCAATACTGACCCCAGCAGCCACTAAGTGGGTCCCACAAGGATCAATACTGACCCCAGCAGCCACTGAGTGAGTCCCACATGATCAATACTGACCCCAGCAGCCACTAAGCGAGACCCACAAGGATCAATACTGGCCCCAGCAGCCACTAATTGGGTCCCACAAGGATCAATACTGACCCCAGCAGTCACTAAGTGAGTCCCACAATGATCAATACTGACCCCAGCAGCCACTAAGTGAGTCCCACAAGGATCAATACTGGCCTCAGCAGCCACTAATTGGGTCCCACAAGGATCAATACTGACCCCAGCAGTCACTAAGTGAGTCCCACAATGATCAATACTGACCCCAGCAGTCATTAAGTGAGTCCCACAAGGATCGATACTGGCCTCAGCAGCCACTAATTGGGTCCCACATGATCAATACTGACCCCAGCAGCCACCAATAGGGTCCCACAAGGATCAATACTGACCCCAGCAGCCACTAATTGGGTCCCACAAGGATCAATATTGACCCCAGCAGCCACTAATTGGGTCCCACAAGGATCAATACTGACCCTAGCAGCCACTAATTCCCACAAGGATCAATACTGACCCCAGCAGCCACTAAGTGGGTCCCACAAGGATCAATATTGACCCCAGCAGCCACTAATTGGGTCCCACAAGGATCAATACTGACCCCAGCAGCCACTAATTGGGTCCCACAAGGATCAATACTGACCCCAGCAGTCACTAAGTGAGTCCCACAATGATCAATACTGACCCCAGCAGCCACTAAGTGAGTCCCACAAGGATCAATACTGGCCCCAGCAGCCACTAATTGGGTCCCACAAGGATCAATACTGACCCCAGCAGTCACTAAGTGAGTCCCACAATGATCAATACTGACCCCAGCAGCCACTAAATGAGTCCCACAAGGATCAATACTGGCCTCAGCAGCCACTAAGTGGGTCCCACAAGGATCAATACTGACCCCAGCAGCCACTGAGTGAGTCCCACATGATCAATACTGACCCCAGCAGCCACTAAGCGAGACCCACAAGGATCAATACTGGCCCCAGCAGCCACTAATTGGGTCCCACAAGGATCAATACTGACCCCAGCAGTCACTAAGTGAGTCCCACAATGATCAATACTGACCCCAGCATCCACTAAGTGAGTCCCACAAGGATCAATACTGGCCTCAGCAGCCACTAATTGGGTCCCACAAGGATCAATACTGACCCCAGCAGTCACTAAGTGAGTCCCACAATGATCAATACTGACCCCAGCAGTCACTAAGTGAGTCCCACAAGGATCGATGCTGGCCTCAGCAGCCACTAATTGGGTCCCACATGATCAATACTGACCCCAGCAGCCACTAATTGGGTCCCACAAGGATCAATACTGACCCCAGCAGCCACTAAGTGGGTCCCACAAGGATCAATACTGACCCCAGCAGCCACTAAGTGGGTCCCACAAGGATCAATACTGACCCCAGCAGCCACTGAGTGAGTCCCACATGATCAATACTGACCCCAGCAGCCACTAAGCGAGACCCACAAGGATCAATACTGGCCCCAGCAGCCACTAATTGGGTCCCACAAGGATCAATACTGACCCCAGCAGTCACTAAGTGAGTCCCACAATGATCAATACTGACCCCAGCAGCCACTAAGTGAGTCCCACAAGGATCAATACTGGCCTCAGCAGCCACTAATTGGGTCCCACAAGGATCAATACTGACCCCAGCAGTCACTAAGTGAGTCCCACAATGATCAATACTGACCCCAGCAGTCACTAAGTGAGTCCCACAAGGATCGATACTGGCCTCAGCAGCCACTAATTGGGTCCCACATGATCAATACTGACCCCAGCAGCCACCAATAGGGTCCCACAAGGATCAATACTGACCCCAGCAGCCACTAATTGGGTCCCACAAGGATCAATATTGACCCCAGCAGCCACTAATTGGGTCCCACAAGGATCAATACTGACCCTAGCAGCCACTAATTGGGTCCCACAAGGATCAATATTGACCCCAGCAGCCACTAATTGGGTCCCACAAGGATCAATACTGACCCCAGCAGCCACTAATTGGGTCCCACAAGGATCAATACTGACCCCAGCAGTCACTAAGTGAGTCCCACAATGATCAATACTGACCCCAGCAGCCACTAAGTGAGTCCCACAAGGATCAATACTGGCCCCAGCAGCCACTAATTGGGTCCCACAAGGATCAATACTGGCCTCAGCAGCCACTAATTGGGTCCCACAAGGATCAATACTGACCCCAGCAGTCACTAAGTGAGTCCCACAATGATCAATACTGACCCCAGCAGTCACTAAGTGAGTCCCACAAGGATCAATACTGGCCTCAGCAGCCACTAATTGGGTCCCACATGATCAATACTGACCCCAGCAGCCACTAATTGGGTCCCACAAGGATCAATACTGACCCCAGCAGCCACTAAGTGGGTCCCACAAGGATCAATACTGACCCCAGCAGCCACTAAGTGGGTCCCACAAGGATCAATACTGACCCCAGCAGCCACTGAGTGAGTCCCACATGATCAATACTGACCCCAGCAGCCACTAAGCGAGACCCACAAGGATCAATACTGGCCCCAGCAGCCACTAATTGGGTCCCACAAGGATCAATACTGACCCCAGCAGTCACTAAGTGAGTCCCACAATGATCAATACTGACCCCAGCATCCACTAAGTGAGTCCCACAAGGATCAATACTGGCCTCAGCAGCCACTAATTGGGTCCCACAAGGATCAATACTGACCCCAGCTGTCACTAAGTGAGTCCCACAATGATCAATACTGACCCCAGCAGTCACTAAGTGAGTCCCACAAGGATCGATACTGGCCTCAGCAGCCACTAATTGGGTCCCACATGATCAATACTGACCCCAGCAGCCACTAATTGGGTCCCACAAGGATCAATACTGACCCCAGCAGCCACTAAGTGGGTCCCACAAGGATCAATACTGACCCCAGCAGCCACTAAGTGGGTCCCACAAGGATCAATACTGACCCCAGCAGCCACTGAGTGAGTCCCACATGATCAATACTGACCCCAGCAGCCACTAAGCGAGACCCACAAGGATCAATACTGGCCCCAGCAGCCACTAATTGGGTCCCACAAGGATCAATACTGACCCCAGCAGTCACTAAGTGAGTCCCACAATGATCAATACTGACCCCAGCAGCCACTAAGTGAGTCCCACAAGGATCAATACTGGCCTCAGCAGCCACTAATTGGGTCCCACAAGGATCAATACTGACCCCAGCAGTCACTAAGTGAGTCCCACAATGATCAATACTGACCCCAGCAGTCACTAAGTGAGTCCCACAAGGATCGATACTGGCCTCAGCAGCCACTAATTGGGTCCCACATGATCAATACTGACCCCAGCAGCCACCAATAGGGTCCCACAAGGATCAATACTGACCCCAGCAGCCACTAATTGGGTCCCACAAGGATCAATATTGACCCCAGCAGCCACTAATTGGGTCCCACAAGGATCAATACTGACCCCAGCAGTTACTAATTGGGTCCCACACAGATCAGTATTGACCCCAGTAGTCACTAGTGAGGTCCCACAAGGATCAGTACCGACTGCAGCAGTCAAAATACAGTACCAAGCTCTGATCCCTCATCTCCTCATAATGTCTTATTATTCTGCATTATGTACAGTATTTGTGGCTGGAGAGTGGCAGGAGCATACATAATATTCAGGTATGGTTTTTGTTATCAAAAACAGGACAAAAAGTGGACTTTAGGAGGCCTTTAAAATGCATCACAATTTTTATTTAACCTCAATTATAAACACATTTTAGCCTCTTTAACTCAGCAGTGTTAAGCAAACATTTCAAATGCCACTCTGGTCTCTTTACTCACCTGAGAAAAAATAAATTCAAAGCACAATGGGGCTATTTGACTCACCGGTGTGTATCCAATAATTGCACCACTGATGACAGTCATGGTAACTACAGCACTGAGCTTCCTCATTTTCATGATGAGGGAAGAGAAGGTCGATACCACCAGAGTGTAAGTCCAGCTGTGTACCCAAAATGTGGCTGCAAATAAAAAACAAGCGTGGTATGTAATGAAACGCCATTTTCTGGGTGAGACCCGGAGGCTCCCAGGAGCTTATCCAGGCTGATATGCTAATGTTAGACTTTGGCATCAGTCATGTGTATGGAGTTCTGTGGGCCTACTGTGGACCACGAGCCAAAATCTGGCCCCCTCAGAAGAGGCATGGGGAGCAATGGCCTATAGAAACCCTGGTGTGGTTGGAAGCATTCTGTCTGCCTTTGACAAGGTCAGGCACCCAGAAAGGTAAGCATCCTGAAACAAATTCCTATTCTGGTGAAAATTGCTACCAAAAGCCAAACAAGTGAATAGAACTCCCCAAAAAGAATGAGGAAACGAGCACGACGTCACAAGTCGCCGCGCCACTGTCTGGGCAGCTCCCCCCTCTCTGTGAGGGGGAAAGGGGAGCCCCAAACTCCTGCCCGGATATACACCCTTCAGTTCTGAGGCTGGATGTCAAACCACACACAAAAAAATACACCGACCGGGGGGTGGGGGTGGGGGGGGGGGGGAGGCATGGCGGGGAGCCTCCTGGTCTCACCCAGAAAGTGGCTTTTCATTACATTCAACGCTGGTTTTCTGGGGAGAGCCCCTTTGGCTCCCCAGAGCTAACTACCCACGGAGGAAAAGTAAAGGGACTTACCAGGCAGGCAGTCGCTGCTCACTCCTCAACTCAAAGTAGAGACTACTGGCTGCAACCGCTGACTCAAAGCGACACAGGCCCGAATAGGCCCAGGAACATTCACGAGGTATCAAGCAGCCAGGACCCTGTTCGACAGCCAAAATCCCCGTGCCCGAATGTCAGCCCAGGACATGTTGCCAAAAATGGCAACAAGAGCAGCGAACGTGGAACGTCACGGGCACTGGGAGAGACCACAGGCTGGCTAGCCTTAACAACCCTGCAGACGACCTGGGAGACCCGCACTCGCGAACAGGGAAGATGCGAAACAGGATCAACCCAAAGCGCATCCCCGGACACATTGGCCAAGGCACGCAAAGAATGGTGGAGGGCCACAACCGGACACAAAACATGATGCACCCCCGACCCGACCAACCAGGCATCAACAACTGAAGAACCCCTCCGGAAAGCAGCAGTCTCATTCTTAGCCAGAAAAGGAGACGGCTGCAGACGAACAAACCTATTGCCACGACCGAAGGAGCAGGAAACTCCTGCGCCGGAGGAGAGCATGAAACTCCCCGACCTGACCCCTAGAGGCCAATGTCAATAAAAAAAAGAGCCTCCGAGAAACAATCCTGAACCGAAAGGGCCACAACAAACTGTGGAGAAGAAAAGAAAAGAGAGCACTCTGTCCAATGACCAGGACAGTTCAGGCGGCACATGAGGGGCCGAAGGTGAAACAACGAATGAGACAGCTTGCGAAACGGCACAGATGTAACATCAATACCGAAAGCAAGCTGAAGCGGCTCAGCCAGCGCCGCATAAGACGAGGCGACAGTATGGGGCAAGTTGATGGCCCCGAACCTCCCACGCCAAGGACAAGACCACGCCAACAAACGCAGCTACCTAAGAAGGGACAGAAGGAAACGGAAGGACCGTCAAAAAACCCCACACTGTCGCCAAGAAGAAGCATGTAAAGGGGACACTATCAACGAAGCCACCCGACCAACAACAGAAGGTGAGAGACTCGAGGCAGAACCGAACCAGCCCCGCCACGGGCCATTTGAGCCTAGGAAGAGGCGGAGCCGCAGGAAGATCTTGGGTGCGACCACTGAGCCAGTAGAACTGGAAACTCAAGCTGGCAAAGGAGAAGATGGAATGTCTGCCATACAGAAAAACATCCCAATGCCAGCGAGCCTGCCAGGAAACCGGAGACGATGGTTCCGACACGAGACTTTAGAGAAGGGACACCGTGAAAATGCCAACAGGCAGGGTAAGCCAGGAAACCAGGAACCCAAACCTGGCAATAGGAGAGCCAAAAGGCACAAACAAAACACACAACAATGTGTAGGATAAAATGAGAAAACAGAAATACAAGAAAAAGACCAGAACAACAGCCCAAGCTCCAACATCCAGGGACAAGAGTGTAGAAGGAAGATAAGGAACGAAGAAGGCAAGTAGCAAACGGGAATGAAAGGGACACGACCAACAACACATAGAGCCGCTGGTCATGTCCCAACAAGCAACGCCAACAACACACAGAGTTGTTTGACACGTCCCAACATAAGACGAAACGGGATAAGGTGCAAAGGTATGCCACCAGACCAGTACCCAAACCAAGAAGCACGAGCTATGAGGATATGATCACCATATTCAAGATTCTTAAAGGAAGTGATAGGGCAGAGAAATACCGACTACAGGACCCCAGGGGACACCGGGAAAATGAGAGCCCAAATGAGCCATAGAGACGTTGGAAAGAAGTATCGCAGTGTCAGAGTAGTGGTCAAAAGGAACACATGAGGAAGCGATGTGGTGGAAGATGACACCACACACAGCTTCAAGCGTAGATACGATAGAGCCCAGCAGGCTCAGGAATCCGCACATTAGCGATTGACAGGTGAAAAGCGGGACCAAAAAGCCAAAGCTCAACTCCCGCAAACACAACTAGGCAAGTACAACAAGGGAAGTACAAAGAATCCAATGTATATGGAAGGGCTAAGCCTGGCACTGCAAGACAGGCAAGGAATGAGTGACCCAGATACGACAACGAAAAACGGGGCTGTGAACCCCCCTTGCAACAATTAACCCAGACGAACAAAGAAGGCCCCAGGAAGAAGCACGGAAGGGCCAAACAAAACACCACAACCAATCCCCAACAAGCATCCACAGTAAGAAAACTGCAGCAAAACGTCACTTCATAACATCCTGACACAGGAACATAGACCCCATAACGTACACCCCCACCATTGTACCTCGTAACCTGGTGGAGATGGGGGCCCCTTGCTGGACTCAAGCATGGGTAGGGCATGCAAAAGAGTGGGACTGGATGGGTATAAATAGGAGCAGTCTCGTAAAGCCCAATAGGCCTGCTGCAGTCACCTGTGTTCCAATGTTCTAATATTCGTATCCAAAAACCATGAACCAGTGTCTGGCTGAAAGAGACGCCAGACCGCATAAACTCACCTGCAGAACGTAGGCACGAAGCGTCATGACACAATGTAGCCGAGAAGATGCTGAGAGCACCGCCAGTGAAAGAAGGCAAAGCCGCACATGCAGGAGAAGAATAGGGTAGAGGCGAAGGAGGTACCCCACATCCGTACGCAGGGAAAACCCAGTGTCCTCCCCATAGCGGCAATCCAGAACACCCCCTAGTAGCTACAGGGCACAGACTGGAGAATTGAGAGGAGCGAGAGGCAAAGCACCCGAGAAAAAAGGACGCAGAACACCAGTACATGTTTACACCGCCCATATCAAAACAAACTACCACAGAGCATGCGCAGCAGCAGGATTGCCAGATTTAGGTTGCTAAAAGTCGCGAGCCAAAGAAAGGAAAATCACAAATTTTACTATAAAACTAGACAAAATATATTTGGTAACGATTAATTCTCTGTCCAGAGTGCACAGGGGAGCTTTTAACAGTAGCCGAAACATACAGAGCATAGCTCTTCATTTGGGCTACAAGTAGCCCAATCTGGCAACCTTGTGCAGCGCAGGAAAGGAGGTTCGAACCACATCCCGCTCAGCGGGAAGGCACCAACTAGGAATATTGAAAGAAAATGAGCAGTGCCGAGACAGAGCACGGAGAGAAGACACAATCACGAAAGAACGAAACAGGACCGAAAGCCGAGAAGAAGCACGGAGGGGAACCAACAAGCCCTAGAAAGGACCGGAGGGAAGCCACACCGGAAGACGACAGACGTTCCAGTAATACGTGAAGAAACAAAAACCTTCCCGAACCTTCGAGAACATATAGAAGCAAGCGTAAAGCACAAAGGCACATAAAGGCACAGTCACACCCGAGACCAAAAGTCATGCAGAACCCTGAGAAGAGGGGAATATGACGGTGAAGGCCTGTCCCAAGAAGAAGGTTAGAGAAATGGAGAAAAGTACCCACCGACAGGACTGAACCAACGGATCCAAGGGACAAGGAAGCGAACCTGGGGAGGGGCCGACGCCCAACAACATGTACGGAGAGGGGAGGAAGAAAAACCCCACTCCTTGTAACCGCAAGCCCCGCCCAGAGGATAGAAAAACCCTGGCAGGGTCCAACGGGGCCCTAGGCCCCCAAGTCAGCCCCTCACCAACTCCGGGAATCCACATGGCAAGCCCCGGGGCTGAGCCGTCCCCCAAAGCCCCAGGCTCACAAGAAAAAGTCAGGGCAGCCAGACAAGTACTAAGGAAGGGAGCCCACTGGCAGACTCATACAACACGGCTGTTGGAACAGGCTCGAATGCCTCTGTCGCTACCCCAGAAGGGGAATTCCCCGAGACCGCCCGAGTCTCAAGACAATCGAAACCCCGTCCCGACTCCGAACCCACACACAGTAAGGATCCGGATGCTTACTGTGTGTGGGAGGAAGTGGGGGGGGAGGACCATACAAGACCACAACGGGGGAAAAACAAGAGGGGTGCGGAAAGAAACAAAACCGAAGCAACCAATACCCCCAAGCCTCGTCACACCAACCAAAACGGGGCAGCCTCGGGGCTTCCGGGGAGCAAACAACCTAGCCCGTTGCCACCACCGAAACACACCGTGCAACGCCCGTGTTGCCTGTACCCACATAGTCCACAGAAGACTGGGTAACCGAGTCACAAACAAGCAACAAAATTCGTAGGACTCCAGGCCGAAGGTGCCGCCGACCCCACAAGCAGCAGACGGAGGCAAAGACAGTGAGTCACCCTGAGACAAGGGGACAGAGCAACCCACGAACTCGCACAAAGCGAGGGGAGGACCCCGGGGTCACATCCATTGGACCCATGCGTCCCTGTGGGAATTCCCACGGTCCTGAGACGGAACTCACAGTCAGGGAATCCCAGGCAGGGTACTGCTAACCAGCGCCTAAGTCTACCAAACAACCTTCTAAGAACTAGACCCCTGGGACGTGTACACTCGCGAGGACCTAGCAGGGGAAACCACCGGAAGAAGGAAGAGTACTCAGTACACAGGGGGCAAGAACCAAGGCAGACTCCCACCACTAAGACAAAAAAAATAAAAACGCAAAAGGACAGCGTACCCAGGCGGAACAGAGCCGGCCGCTATGATTGGTGAAAACTATCTGCGCAGTACCCTGCGCCCCTACCAGTGCAAACTGCCCCCACCCTAAGGCGAACAAGGGAGACAGAATACGCTAGCACACAAAGGACAGCCAAAAACCAAGCAGTAAATGGCCTAGCAGAGGCTGAACCAAAGGAACTTGGGGAAGGTGGCCCCATGGGCAGTACTTACTGGGCACTTAGGGAAGGAAACCCTAGGCGCATGCAACCCGGGTACTGGCGAATCACTCCCAGCTCACGCCCCACCTAGAAGACAATCACCACACACTAGGTACAATGCTGAAATAACCACTGGAGCCGGGGCACACAACCGTTGCCTATAGCATTAGCTTCAGAAGTGAAGGGTGGATAGCCGGGCAGGGGTCTGGGGCTCCCTCTTCCCCCTCCCGGGGTGAGGGGAGCTGCGCAGACAGCGGCGCGGCGACATGAGATGTCATGTTCATTTGCTTGTTTCTTTTTGGGGAGTTCCATTCACTTGTTCGGCTTTTGGTAGCAATTTTCACTAGAATAGGGGTTTGTTTTGGGACGCTTATATTTCTGGGTGCCTGACCCTGTCGATGGGACATAGAATGCTTCCAATCACACGGGGGTTTCTATAAGCCATTGCTCCCCATGCCTCTCTGAGGGGGCCAGGTTCTGGTTAATGGTCCCCAGTAGGCCCACAGAATTCCATACACATGACTGATACCAAAGTCTGACATTAGCATATTAGCCTGGATAAGCTCCGGGGAGCCGAAGGGGCTCCTCCCAGAAATACAAAATATTAACACTTTCGCGCCCCCTTGGATGGTAAAAAAAAAAAGCGGTATGTGCGCGCGGCGTTTTTGCCGCGTAAGCGTAAAAACAAAAATGTGTATACTCTTTTTACTCTCCTGACCTTAGTTCTCGAGCTACGTATTTCATTTTGGTACCAACGTGTTCGCAATAAAATTCTCTAGAAGAACATCAGTAAAAAAAAGTCACGAAACGTATAGGGATACCAGCACCAAATAAATAACTACGAAGATGACTCGCCGTGAGCACCCAACAGCAACAAAATGTTTTTACTCTTGGGATTGTTATCACCTTCACACTTGTCCTACAGCGTTAATTTTGGTATCAATGGACTCGCAATGAAATTCCCAACACGGTGATATGAATATAAACGTAGAATAATGATTGCGGCCCACCCGCAAGAGTGTGGGAAGTGGTGAAATTGTTACCCGGTATCGGTGACGGGACGACACATGTGCGATACGGCGCTTTGAAAGTTTATACTTATTTCACTCTCCTGACATTATTTTTCTATGTACGTCATTCATTTTTGTGTCAATGTGTTCGCAATAGAATGTTCTATGAGCCCGTAGGTAAAAAAGATCAACAAAGCGTAAGATAGAATATCGCCAAATATAAAACAACGCTGGAACATATCAGTGAGCGTCAAACACACACGAAATGTTTTTACTTTTGTTATGTTTGTCAAGTTTATACTTGTTGCACACAGTTATTTTTGGTTGTACATTGATCGGAATAAAATTCCCTAAACAGACATATGCATATAATACATGATATGGGGGAAGCATTACCAGTATAAATGGCTAAAGTCACCCACCTGTAACCCATTTGGGACACTCATGCAGACACACGCTACACCTAGAATCTAAAAATCTAAAAATCTATGAAGGTTCGAGTCTACTTATGGCAGTTTATGTGATACAGTGTTCCTTCTGGTAACAAAATACAAAATACATTACCAGTATAAACGGCTAAAGTCACCCATCTGCAACCCGTTTGGGACACACGCTACACCCAAAAAAAAATCTATGAAGGTTCGAGTCTACTTATGGCAGTTTATGTGATACAGTGTTCATTCTGGTATCAAAATACTCGTTTCAGTTTGTAGTTCATGTGATTTTCAGAATCAACTGAATCGCTGGAGGTTCAACATTTGAGTCAGAGTCATCTGACAAAACCGTCTCGTCAAATGGCAGTGTGCCAGACATCTCGGGTTCTGATTCGGTTGCTGCTTCAGCTTGAGGTGTTGAAGTGAACAAGGGCCGCCTCACACCAGATGGTCCAGGAGTTTGCATGGCGTCAGCATAGGCAGGACCTGTGTCATCATTTATGTCTGGAGCGTGCCGCAAGTGTTGAGATACTGTTGCTGTTTGAGGCAAATCTTCCGGGTCCCAGCACAATAGGGCCCAATTTGCCACCTCGTGGAACTGTAGCAATGTTAGCTTTTTTTGATCAGTTGTGTTGTATTTGTACAAAATAAAGGCATTATGCAAAGCCATTTGCAGGAAATAAAACGTTATCTTTTAGGTCCACTTGTGAGTTTTCCGGGTAAAATGGTAATACCATTTGATCGAAGTGGTCCACACCTTTCATGAACTTATTGTACCATGCAGCCTAGTGGTGAGAAAGAGAGCCTCATGGCGCGCAGTTTGAAACAAACCCAAAGTAAATCGGATTAAAATTTAATTTTATACAAATATTTTAAAAGAGGACATAAATTTATGTCCACCATGCGGGAGCGGGTAGGCGAAACAGAACGCCGGGAGGAGTCCTCATCAGCAGAAAGTGTTAAGCTGACAAGGTGAGGAAATCAACATGAAAAAATTGTAAGTAATAAAGCTCCCAATGCTACGGGTGCTTATTTTCTCCTTTTTTCAATAGTCTATTTTTTTTTTTGGACTGGGCACTTTAGTATAATTCCCCATTTGTCAGCCTCCCAAGGCCAAACACTAGACCTGCAATATTTTTCCTATTTTTCCTGAACTTGGCATCAGTTTTTATACAGTGGTACCTCCACTTACGAATTTAATCTGTTCCCAGAGACGGGTTGTAACTCAACAATTTTTAAGTTGAAACGAATTTTCCCACAAGAAATAATGTAAATTGAATTAATCCGTTGAACACCCCCAAAAATATTAATTTAAAAATATATTTTATTCCGAATACCAGTCTCTTTGTGCTAGCTACAATACAGTATTTATATCTTAGCATTATTGAGGACTCTTGTTGGCATATGAAAGATGGTGAGGAGGGGGGAAGAGGAGGAGAGGTGTTACTGTTTGAAAGGGAAGTCCCATTCCATTGTAATATCAGATAGTGATGACTTCTATTGGGTACTCTCTCTCTCCTACGTTTTGCCTGCATACCAGTAGGACCTGGTTGTGGCTCACTGCTTGTTTTTCTCACTATGAACCTTTCCATGGAGACTTGTTTTCCCTACGTCTGAACATTTGTCTGTAGTGAGGCATCGCAGTGTCATTAAAAAGGTTAAGGCAATGCGTACTGCAGGTTGATTTGGGTGAGTCGTTTCAAGAAAACTTTGCATTTCTTCCCATACTGCACACCACTTCTTAACTGTTGAGGAAGGACATTCTGTACTGTCTCCTCCTTCCCTGAAGAAATTTCCTCAGCTGTCTCTTGTTGCTGCTCCTTGTGAAGGGCTAGGAGTTCTTCGCTGTGTTCCTCCACCAACTCACAACACTAACAACTCTCACATCACTGTGAATGCCACCTCTTTTTCTAAATTTCTCAAACCATCTTCTGCTCGCCTTAAACTCTTTCGTATCTGTATCACTTGTTCAAGGGGTTTTCTTTATAAGATCATCTTGCAATAGCCTTGCTTTTCACAAATGATGGCCTCTGAAACACTATCTCCCGCTAACTCCTTGTTGCGTATCCAAATTAATAATAACTTTTCAGCATCCTCAAGTGTTTGTGTTCTATGTTTCCTGAATATTGATATGCCTTTTGCCGCTTTAGCACTCATAATGTCCTTTTTCTTAGCAAGTACGTTATATATCGTTGACATGGACTTGGTGTACTGCCTAGCTAGATCATCAATCCACACATCATCTTCATGTTTACGAATGATCGCTTGTTTTTCCTCTATGGTCATCCTCACATGTGTTTTCTTAGGTTGAACCTTACCACTGACTTTCTTGGGACCCATAGCATAATACATAATAATTACTTTTATGTTCAAAAACAAAAAAGCACAAAAACAATTAAATTCTTTACAAGCGTGATCATCACTAAGCAGGTGGTTCTGGTAAACTGAGGTGGGGTCGCCTGTGCCACCAGGAACCATGTGCTTGGTCGACCCATACCCATATGATCCATATTAACAAAGTCGCTAGTCGAGGCAACGGGCAGTTGTAAGTCGAGGTTTCACTGTATAGTACTTCATAATTTTGTTTTTCATAAAATGCTCAGAGAAGAGTGGTGGGAAAAGAAGCACCAAGGTATTATGACTATATAGCACTTGGAACAGGTCAGGATAAGGATTTGGTATGAGACAGGGGGAAAGGAACCAATTGGACAGATGGGGGATTGAACGCAGACCTGCATGAACCGAGACTGTCACTCTACCATCCAGCCCAAGTGGTTGGGCTATACAGAAGAGTGGAGGGCCAAGAGGGAAATGCCACAGAAGAGGATTAAAAGTGTGTTCCCAATAGAGCAACTTTACCTGGCCATTGCAGAGCACTCAATATGCCACCCTGGTCTGCCATGACCCCATGGTGATTCCCAGTATGGCTCACCACCCTTGGACCCCTTCCAAAGAGCAAAGTCTCGAGCCGATTTCTTTATCCCAGCGCCGCGCATATCCAATGATTCGTCAAGCGTAGTCATTTTTCCATAACGACCATAAGCTCTCGTGTCAAAGTACACTGAACCTGAAAGCACAGAAATATTAGAAACAAGCAAAAAAACCAGTGTTTAATGTAATGAAATGCCATTTTTTGGGTAAGCCCCGGAGGTTTCCTGGAACTATTGGGCTAATATGCAATTCATTAGACCAGGGAATTAGTCATAAGATTTCAGCCAATCGGGGACCACGAACCAGAACCTGGCCCCCTCAGCCAGGTTCTGGCTGAGAATGCCCAGGGATCAATGGTCCTGGAAAACTCCGCTGTATTTGGGGGTTTTCCTTATCTGCCATCGACTGGAGTTAGGCACCCAGAAAGGTAGGAATAACAAAACAGACCCAACATGGGAAGAAAATTGCAACCAACAACCAAAGAGAGAGGCAGAACTTCCTCCAATCCCAAGGAAACAAACAAATGTCACACCCCACGGTTGTGCTGCTCCTTTGTGCAGCCCCCCACTTCCCCAGACTCAGGGGAAGCCCCAGACCCCTCCCTGTACCAGTGACCCAGCCACTCCAGTTCGGAGGCTAAGTATCAAAACAACGTGAAAACTGCTGACCAGAGGGAGAGAGGGAGAGAGGGTGCCAGGGAGCCTCTGGGGCTCACCCAGAAAATGGCATTTCATTACATTCAACACTGGTTTTCTGGGGGAGGGGGAGCCCCTTTGGCTCCCTGGAGCTACATACCCAAAGATAAGTAAAGGAGGGACCTACCCGGGAGGTGGCCACCACCCGTTCGTCAACTCGTCGAGACAACTGGCTGCAACCTGCAACCCAAAGCAACACAAAAATGAGCCAGACCAAGAACATTGACCAAATAATGGGCTGCCAGAACCCTGTAGGACCTCCAAAATCCCCATGCCCGAACATCAGCCAAAGACATGTTGTCGAAGACAGCAGTCAACGCAGCAACTTTACAAACATCATGGGCAAGGAGATAGACCGCAGGCTGGCTAAACTTAAGGGACCCGGTGCATGGGCACCGAATCTTCCTCATACACACTCAATCTTTTTTTTTTTGCATAATCCTCATGGCGAATGCTCCCACTTTTCCATATAAATCAACATCATACCATGAACGAAAAAAAAGTTAAAAACAAAAAAAAACAGCGTTGAATGTAATGAAACGCCATTTTCTGGGCGAGTCTTGGAGGCTCCCCGGAGCTATCCCAGGCTGATATGCTAATGTCAGACTTTGGCATCAGTCATGTGTACGGAGTTCTTAGGCCTACCGGGGACCACGGCCAGAACCGGGCCCCCTCAGAGAGGCAAGGGGAGCAATGGCCTATAGAAGCCCCCGTGTGGTTGGAAGCATTCTATGTCTGCCATCGACCGGAACAGGCACCCAGAAAGGTAAGCGCCCCAAAACAAACCCCTATTCTGGTTAAAATTGCTACCAAAAGCCGAACTAGTGGAGAGAACTCCCCAACCGAAAACAAGCAAACTAGTGTGACGTCACACACTGCCGCGCCGCTGTCTGCGCAGCTCCCCCCTCCCCGGGAGGGGGAAGGGGGAGCCCCAGACCCCCCACGCCGGCTACCCACACCTCAGTTCTTGAGGTTGGATGTCAAAAACGCGAAAAACCGCCGACCGGAGGGAGGGAAGGATGCCGGGGAGCCTCCGGGACTCACCCAGAAAATGGCGTTTCATTACATTCAACGCTGGTTTTCTGGGGGAAGCCCCGTCGGCTCCCCGGAGCTAACTACCCACAAACGGAAAAAGAGGAACTTAACCGGGAGGCGGTCGTCGCTCACTCCTCAACTCGAAGCCGAGACAAATGGCTGCAACTGCCGACCCAAAGCAACACAGGCCCGACGGGGCCCAGGGACATTCACAAGGTAGCGAGCAGCCAGGACCCTGTTCGACCGCCAAAATCCCCGCGCCCAAATATCAGACCAAGACATATTCCCAAAGACGGCAGCAAGAGCCGCGAACTTACGAACGTCATGGGCACAGGGATAGACCGCAGGCTGGCTGGACTTAATAACCCTGCGGATGACCTGGGAGACCCGAACCCGCGAACAGGGAAGAAGGGAAACCGGATCAACCCACAGCGCGTCCCCGGACACAGAAGCCGTGGCGCGCAAATAACAGCGAAGCGCCGCAACCAGACACAAAACATGATGCACCCCCGGCCTGACCAACCAAGCATCAACCATCCATGGACCCCTCCGGAACGCAGCAGTCTCATTCTTCGCCAGAAAAGAAGGAGACGGCTGCAAACGAACAAAACAATCACCACGACCAAAAGAGCAGAAACCCCTGCGCCGGAGGAGAGCATGAAGCTCCCCTACCCGACCCCCAGAGGCCAAAGTCAACAAGAAAAGTGCCTTGGAAAAACAATCCTGGACCGAAGGGGCCACAACGAAACGAGGAGACGAAAGGAAAGCGAGTACTCTGTCAAAAGACCAGGACGGCTCAGGCGACGCATGAGCAGGCCGGAGGTGAAACAACGCACGAGACAGCTTGCGAAACGGCGCAGACATAACATCGATACCGAAAGCAAGCTGAAACGGCTCCGCCAGTGCCGCACGATACGAGGCGACAGTGTTAGGCATAAGATGACGGTCCTGAAACAACCACGAGAGGAAGGACAAGACCACCCGAACAGACAAGGAACTAACACGACGAAGACGCAAAAAGAAACGAAAGGACCGCCAGGAAACTTCATACTGCCGCCGAGAAGCCCTCAGGTGGGACACCAACAAGGAGGCCACCTGATCACCATAGAGATGATGATAGACTCGAGTAAAAAAAAACATACGCGAAGACTCGAGGAGAAGATCGAACCAGCCACGTGACGTACCGGCCCGATCTGCTGGAAGAGGCGGAGCCGCGGGAAAACCCTCGGGTTCGGACACCGACCGGCCACCAAGGGGCCAGAAGGACAACTCTCCCCTGGTAAGTCTCTAAGCGAGTCAGGACCTGGAGCAACAGCCGAACCGGGGGAAAGAGGTACAGGAACCCCCACCTCGACCAGTCTAGCCGAAAGGTATCGACCCCGACGGCCCTCGCGATCAGGGAAGGGCACCGCATAAACGGGAAGACGCCGCGACCACGCCGACGCGAAGAGGTCCACCTCGGGGCGCCCGATCGTCTGGTAAAGCCAACGGAAGGACTTGTCGTCGACCGTCCACTCCGTGGAGAGGGGAACGAAGCGAGACAGGGCGTTGGCCAAGACGTTGGACACGTCCCTTACGTGAACCGCCAGGAGAGCCAAACCCCCGAGAACTCAGCAGATGAGTCACCCGAAGCGACCAACCCCAAAGAGACAAGGACCGCATCGAACCCCTGTGGTGCAGGCAATGAACCACCAGAGAGCAGTCCAAATGGAGCCGAATCGTCGATCCGCGGGCCACCCAAATCCTCCCCAGAGCAAATCACACTGCCGCGAACTCCCGCACCGTGTTGTGAGCTCGACGGAAGGACGGATCCCAACGCCCCTGGCCGGCCTGGTGAGCACTGGTCACAAAACCCCAGCCGAGAGACGACGCATCCATGTACACATTGAGCGAGGGCTCGGGTAGGCGCCAAGGCACTGAACCCCGAAAAACCCAAAGAGGAAGCCGGTGACGCAGCAACCGACGCAAGGCCCCCGCGGGTCAAACTCTGCGATCGCGAGAGAGGCGGAAGGGGGAACCCCGAAGGAACCAGAACAGCCGTCGAAGCCAAACCCGACCCGTTGGGTAGACCACCATCGCAAAGTTCAGGCTCCTGCACAGCCCTTCGAGCAACCGCCGGGTGACCCGAGGACCCTCCAGAAACAGACGAAGGCGGGACCGCAGCCGCAGGAGAGACTCCGGAGGGAGAGACAAGGAGGCGGTTCGAGAGTCCCAAACGAGACCCAGCCAAGTCCGAACCCGAGAGGGAACCAGATGGGACTTCCTCCAGTTCACCAAGAACCCGAACTCGGCGAGCTGGGAAAGAACCAAATCCCTGGCTAGCAAGCAAGCTGACTGGCTGGGAGTCCAAACCAGCCAGTCATCGAGGTAGGCCAACACCCGAACACCTAGGAGACGCAAACGAGCCACCACAACCCGTGTAAGGCGCGTGAACACGCGAGGTGCCAGGTTCAACCCGAACGAGAGACAATGAAAGCGGTAACTCAGACGCCCCACAACAAAACCGAGCCAGTCTCTGAACTGTGGATGAATCGGGACATGCCAATAAGCGTCCCGGAGGTCCAGGGACACCATCCAAGCTCCCGGCTCCAAGAGGAGCCGAACCTGAGACAGCGTAGTCATCCGAAAGGAGGGGCAATAAACCCAGGGGTTCAGACGGGACATGTCCAGAATGAACCGCAGGTCCGCGCAGTCCCGTTTCGGAACCGGAAACAGATGGGAAACCCATCTGAGGGACGACGTCGTTTCGACGACGCCCAAGCGTACCCACTCCAAGACGACTCAACAGAGCACAGGGGAAAAAACCTACCCTGCCAGCCCCGACCCCCCCAAGGGCAGAGGGGCCACCCAACGCCACCGCAGGCCGCGAGACACGACCCGAAAGGCCCACGAATCGTGGGACCAGGCGCGGGCGAACAGTGCAAGCCGCCTCCACATCGCCCCGTCAAGGGGGCAAACCGTGAAAGGGCCGGCGACCCTTACGAGGCCCAGAACCCCGCACAGCGCGAACACCGCGCCGACCAGACGACACATCCCGCAAAATCGGCGTGAACAGCTTCAACAAGGCAGCCGACGAACGCGCAGCCGAGGACAAGGTGCCGGACCCCGGGACGGACGCAAGCGTCCTCACATCCTCCACGAGCCAATCCGAAGACAGCTCCAGGAGGGAAAAGAACTGCAAGGCCGAAGCCAAAAGGCCCTGGGCGCGCAAGTCCTCCGCAACGAGTGCCGCCGAAAGGGAGGGAACCTGCACATGGAGCTGAATAACGCCCACATCGCGGGGAAGGGCAGGGGCAAACAAGCACTCATTCAGGTACTCAAGCTCGCCCCCCAGGAAAACCTGAAGCACCGTGGAAGCTTCCCGCCACTCCAGCGTGCGGGAACGACAGAAGGAATACCAGGAATC